GCATTGATGATACACACTCCACAGGAAGATTCTGCTCTCATAGAACCAACATACTTGTTATAGGATATCTGGGGCAGGATATATTTTCCAAAGTTGGTTGCAACAATACCCCCTTCCCAAATGCTCTCCTTCAGTGTGACCTTGCTGCTCCTCCACCGTGAGGCAGAATCAAATCCTCTTCCCTTTGAGTCTGGGCTGGTTTTAGCAGTAACTTCCTCGACCAATAGGTAGAAGTCATATTCTGGGACTCTGAGGCTAGGTGCTAGGCAGTCTCCCAGTTCCTACCTGGGTCTCTTGGTGAGCTTGCTCCTCGGATACTCCCTCTCAGAACCCAGTTGCCATGCCGTGAGAAAACCAAGTCATGTGGCCATGTGTAGGTGCTCAGGTCGCCAGCCCCAGCTGAGCTCCCGGAGAACAGCAGCAGCTATAGCTAGCTGCATGAGCATGCCATCTTAGATCTCCAGCCCAGTGGAACCTTCAGACGACAACAGCCCTGGCTGACACCGGACTTCAACCATGTGAGAGAACCCAAGACAGGACCAACCGGCTGAGCCCATTCAACCCCCAAAACTTTGAGAAACTAAGAAAATATTGCTTCAAGGTAGTAAATTTTGTGGTAGTTTGTTACACAGCAGTAGGTAACTAAAACAGTATCTGAGATCTAAATTTTTTTTTTTTTACCGAGCAAATTCGATGCCAAATGCTGTCCGGGTCTCTGTTCCTCCTCTCTGCTCAATGTGGCTGGCAGCTTCCACCACATCTTTTACAGACCTGTAGTCATTGAGGTGAAACTCATGTACCACATCTTCTCCATACTGAACAACTCCAACCTGCAGGCCAGAGGAGAAGGGTGACAGAACAACTTGACCCCCTGAAACTTAGACCTTCGGTGGGAAGGAGCCCTGGGAGCTGTCTCTCTGTCCATGATGATTCAGCAGTCAGGAGGGCTGAGGACCTTCCCAAGAAAGTAACTCCTGCCGAAGGGAAGCGGGTTCTGCAAGGTTCCAGGAATGAATGGATGGTTTGGTGGGACAAGTGGGGCTGCATATAGAGAAAGGAGACTTTGTGATTTAAAGAAAGGCCCAACAGATTACATTTCTTTCTTAGAAAGACCAAAGTTGAGAATAGAATGAAAGTCTAAAATATTAGGAACAGTGTGATGGAAGGCCACCAAACTCTTTTTTTTTTTGTCTTTTTTCGTGTCCGGCAACGGACTGCAACCCTCAGTGTTGTCCCCGTACCGGACCGGGACCGGCAACGGGATCGCAACCCTCGGTGTTGCTCCCGCACCTCGCTCAGCCAGTGAGCGGGAACCGGTCTGTATGTGGGATCCGAACCCTCTGGCGGGAGCGCCGCCGCGCTCCCAAGCAGCGCACTGTAGCAGTGCACCACCGGGCCGGCCCCGAACCAAACTCTTAAACTAAGTTATCTTAAAGCTTAGAAGAGAACAGATTCTTTTATCCCCAAGACTGATAAAATATCAACAATATTAATAGCTCCAAAATGAACAAAAAACCCTGAAGACCTATAGGAGGAATAGAACGATGAAACGTTACTGTTGGGTGGTCTCCCAGTTTGTTGGGCACAAGTGCCCTTCTAACTCTGGACTTTCACTCACGATACCCTAGAAGATGATCTTCCAGTTGTGGGGAAATCATTACTTCATGAGAAAGTCTGCTCCCCTTCTTACAGCTGTGATTGTTACAAATAATTTCTTAGGTTGTCTTGAAATCTGCCACCTTGTAAGTTCATTCTATTCATTGGTCCTCATTCAGCCAAAATACTAAGCAATAAATCTACTGTGTCTTTAGCCAGGCAGGGTATCAAATACAAGCTGGCAGCTCTCACCTGCTTCCCTGTCGTCTTCTCTCCAAAATCAATATCCCAATCCTCTCCTATGCCTCGCTCAATGGGGTTCTGGTGTCTACTCAACCTTTCTTGCCTTCCTCTCACTCTCTAGCTCGTTCAAGTCTTAATAGGTGGTGTCTATCCCAGAAGACAGTGTTTGGCCCCCAAACTGTCCTTTCTCTCCTATGCCTCGCTCAATGGGGTTCTGGTGTCTACTCAACCTTTCTTGCCTTCCTCTCACTCTCTAGCTGGTTCAAGTCTTAATAGGTGGTGTCTATCCCAGAAGACAGTGTTTGGCCCCCAAACTGTCCTTTGATGTGTCCACCAGAGATGATGTCCTGGGCTGCAGGGCCCTGGTGCTGGCTGGCCTCACTGGCCCCCACCCTTTCCCCTGCACCACCTTACCACATCCCAAGTTGCTCCCCCACACTCAAAGGCAGCATCTGCTATGGGTTTGGGGGGCTCTGTTCAAAGGAGGAAAGAGCCCCAGAGACACTCACCTGGATCTGTCCTGGGCCAATGTAAAACTTCTTCAGGATGTTGATGAGGAAGTGCTGAACCTCCACCCAGGGGTAGATGCTGTTGGAGCCGTCCAGAACAATGACAATATCCATGTAGGTCTGGCACCCTGGGAAGTGGGAACATGGCCATGGCTAGCCAAGGAGCCAGTGTCTGCAAGTCTCTGATTCTCCAGATGATTGCTCAAAAGATGGTAAGAGAATGACTGCTACATGTGTGTGACTCCCTGGGCTGGGGAACCATCCTTGGGCTGGACATTGATTTGGGCAATTGTGAATGACAAGCCCAGGAATTCCTGGCTCTGTCCCACCACTCTGCTGGCTGTTTGAACAAAGCTTAAATTAAGCCTGACCACCTCTACTCCTACATGCACTGACCACTGCCAAGTGGTCAATGCTTCTGAGGCAGCCAGCACTGCCCAAATTAGTGCCTCATTATCACTTCTCTTATGAAGTGGTCAGGCTGGCATTTATCACGTGCAGCCCAAATGAATGGCTTTCCCTGTTCAGGAGGGAGGTGTGGTGTAATGACTAGGAATGTGGAATCTGGCACTGGACTGTTTGACTCCTGGCTTTGCCCTCACTGGCTGTGTGACCAGGGGCCAGTCACTTAATCTCTCAGCCTCACCTTTCTCTTCTATAAAGGAGGCATAACAACAGCAGAGAGTTGTCATGAGGAATTAGCAAGAAGATGCTTCTTAAGGGCCGAGCATAAAGAAAGTGCTCAATAAATCTTAGCTGATCCTATTTTTATTTTTTTTAAGCAAACCACTGAGTTAACGTGTCAATGACATTATCAGATCAAACTCTCTGCTTCTGAACATAAAGCTTTCTTCATATTCTCATAATATTAATATCAAATTAAAAGAAAAAATAAACATCAAATAAAGAAAAAAATCAATGCAGAAAACTAAAAATTTTCTTTTTGAGCCTGCTTGGGAAGAAGCTGGCTTTAGATCTATGCTTCTTATACATGGCTGAACAGTGCCTTGGGGAACACAGACACACACACACTCACTCCTGGGGCCTATCCCAGATCTACTGAATTAGGTCCCACATGAAGGTGCCCTGGAATCTGCATGCTGGTCAGCAGTGAGGAGGCCTCTGCAATAGGAGATTCAGGGAGGCTATGATGGTCACATCTTCGCTCCAGGGGTGGTGATGTTCTCCAGCGTAAGTCCCACATGCTGTGACCTCAGGTCTCCCCTGTGACCTGGGCTGCCTTTCCCTCTGCCGTTTTGTGTGAATAGAATCCATGCCTCCTCATCCCCCTAAGAGGACCACTTTCCAGACCCTGCTGGAGTCAGGCTTCCTCCTCCTCCTCCCCCAAGCACCATCTTTCCACCTCTGACTGGGCCTGCTGTTTGGAGGGAGGCTGCTGGCAAGCCAGAGGTGTTAATCCCCTCACCCTCCATAAAATGGGCAGCAGCTGCTTGGGTGATGATATTTAGCCCAGAGGAAATAGTGAGGCTCAGAGCCAAGAAGTCTGGGATTGAGGGGGGCAAGTTCTGAGCATTGATTCCCCAGGTTTTCTGGGTGAGTGGGGAATGAGGGGCGGGGTTTGTGTTCAAAGAGGCTCTGGCAAGCTGGGCAGGACTCCCTGAGGCCCAGGAGCACTGGCTTGGTGGAACTATTACCAAGGAGATTTCTGTTCTCTTTGGCCCTCCACCTACAGGGCTATGGCATTGCACAACATAAGGGAACACCATTTACACTGTAGTCTAAGTGAACAATACCCTCAGAATTGTGCAGTGCACAGCATGCCTGCTGTACATGGTAGCCCGACTACCTCTTCCACGCTCAGAGTTTTTGCAGTGAACCTCTCTCAATGCCAGGATTGTCTTCACAATCTTAGCTCCTTTGATCCTTGCCATCACACTGTGGGAAAGGGTAGGCCAGGATTATGATCCTCTCAGAGGCTCAGAGAAATTAAGTGACTCATTTCAGGTCATCCAGAGAGCAGAGGCAGAGCGGGGCTAGAGTCCAAATGTTGCTTTGTAGCATAGGGTAGCAGTGGTCAGAGCCCCAGGCCTCCCTGGACTGTCTACCACTCAGCCCGAGTCTGCAGATTTAAAGCCACTTACTTTGCAGAGCTGGGGCCACGGTCTTGGAGAACCTGAAGTTGGAGTTGACTCTCGAACACATCCCTGTGGTGTAGTAGGAGCTCCCACACTCGTGAGACCAGAGCGGGCTGCAAGCCTGTGGAGCACAATGCAGACCCCCAGTCAGTGGGGAGGGGGGGCTTCAGAGAGCATCCAGCTTCAGTGGCTTGAGTCCCCCAGGAGTTAGAGGGCCTTCTTTGAGTCTAACTGAGCTCTCTCTTGCTGCAATGTGCACTAGTTCTCTTCATTTCAGGTGTAATAGAGGAAAACTAATCTTGGAGTCCTGCTTTGTTGTTCTTTCCAGGGCCCGTTCTCCATCCTATCTTTCCAGGTGTGACTCTTCTTCACCCTACCCGCCCACCCCACCCACCATGCACAGGATCTGGGAAAGCCTTTTCAGCCACGGGACTGGACCTTTTAAGGGTCACTAGAATAGTTTTTCTGTTTGATGAGATCACCTGAAGGTCCTTACTAAGCAAACTTCCAGGGTCCCAACAACATGCTGTGGTTCTTACTAGGGGAAGAAAAAAGAATGTCTGCTCTTTCTGTGAAATCTGCTACCAGAACATTGATGTCAGCCCCTCACTGAAGGACTGAGTGATGAGTTCCTCTCGGAGTCAGGGTCATCAAAAATGAAAGTCCGGCTCCATCGCTCCATTGTTGTCCTGTTGTCAGGAAACTCAGGGCTAAATTTTGCACTGAAGGACTGAGTGATGAGTTCCTCTCGGAGTCAGGGTCATCAAAAACGAAAGTCCGGCTCCATCGCTCCATTGTTGTCCTGTTGTCAGGAAACTCAGGGCTAAATTTTGTGCTATAATTTCCTTTGGTTTAGGAGAGTAACTATTCTACTCCTAATTCCTTTCTTTAATCAGCTTTCTTTTTTAACCTGGATCTTAAAGGTTATATTTTATCTGTGTCCTTTGTTGAAGCTGCTGTAAATTATTGTTGGAAGTAGGAGAAGAATAAAGAATGGATAGATGAATGATGGATGGATGGATGGACGGATGATGGATGGGTGGATGGATGGATGGATGGGTGGATGATGGACGAATGGACAGATGGATGGATGATATATGGATGGATGAATGGATGGGTGGATGGATGGATGGATGATGGATGGATGGATGGATGGGTGGATGGATGGATGGATGATGGATGGATGAATGGATGGGTGGATGGATGGATGGATGATGGATGGATGATGGATGGGTGGATGGATGATGGATGGATACAGGAAGGGATGGATGGAAGGATGGATAATGGATGAAAGGATGGGTGTAGCAGAGAGCTGGTAGAGGGGCTGCTTCCTGGAGTGCCTAGGGACTGGCAGCCTGGTG